AAAGTAATGAATGTTTGGCAGTAAATGTTCAAAATTTTCATACAAAATATTGTTGGAATATTGTTTTAATTTGGTCTTCAGATTAATTAAACAACTCAAAGAGACTGGATCAGTTGAAGACACTAAACACACTGGTTTTTCAAAAACAAGCTGTTCAAAAATCAATGTCAAACCAGTGCATGAGAGAGTTGGTGAAAATCTCAAAACATCAATTTAACTTGGTGGATAAAAACTACATATTTCAGGAAGCATTCTTAGAAAAGATCTGTCTCTATGCTTTTAAAATTCAATTTACACAACAACTAAAGCCTAATTACCATGCACAGTAAATAGAGTTTGTTGAATGGATTTATAAACATCAACAAGTGGATGCTGTTTTTTTGAGAAAAATTATCCGAAAGGATAAAGCACATTTTTAACTTGATGCCTTTATTATTCACCAAAATTGCTGTGTTAAGGGTTCTGAGAACCCACATGTGATTGTCAAAGAAACAAATACTTTCACAACATTTCATTGTTTGGTGGGCATTTTGGGCAGAAAGCATCATTGGATCTTACTTTTCAAAAGTATGGCTTTTTTTGAATTTAGAAAAAGTCTTTACTTTTTTTAAATTCATTTTTATAACAACATCAATCAGCAAATTTCAAAATTTTTTAAAAATTCAATGCTGATAGAAACCAAAAGAACTTTTTATTTTCCAATTATAGCAGCAATTAATTTAACACACCATTAAAATGAAGTTAATAATTTACTACTTTAATTAGTAAATTGACTATTTTTTATCAAATTAGTAATTTAATTTGAAAAGGTAATTTGATGCAAATGAGTTGCCTTTTTGGGTGACTAGCTGAGTAACCCAAAATGGTGACTCAGCTAGTCACCCAAAATAAAGACTAGCTAAGTCACCATTTTTTGGTGAAAAAAAATTAAAATTTTATTTTTTTTTGCCCTTCAAAAAATTGTTGTCTGGAGACATTGGGCAACCATGTTTGTACAACATTGAAATGGCTCCATTTTTTTTTTATATTCATGTTTTTTATGACTAATTACTAATAATAGGGTAAATTAGCCCAATTTCATTCAATATTCAAAAAGTTTAATTTGTTGTTCATGAAATTTTTTTTTCAATAGATAAAAGACTTTGTTTTTTATTATAACATGTTAAAAAAACAAAGTTTTATATTTTATTTATTTCTTAAAATCAATTTTACAAGAAATAATTTTTGACCAGATTTATATATTTTTAACTAAAGGCGGTGTTTATCAATGAGATAATAATTAAGATGGAGGAAAAAATCAATTGATATATGAAAACTAATAAAATAAAAAATGTCTATCTATTACTCAATATATATTAAAAAATTCTATTACTCAATATATATTAAAAAATTCAATGCCTTGTTTATATCATTTTTGGAGTACATATCTGGTTGCAAAACCTTAATCGACACAAATTGTTTTCACATCGAACAATTATATTATTGACATGTGCCTTTGCACTTTTTACATTTTTACAAGTACTTTTTGCTGGTTACTTAGTATGCTTCAATCATCTGCATAGCCTATGTTACATTTTGTAGCCTTTTTTTATTTTGTTTTTCTTCTATTGATCGAACTTTCTCCATTGTTTTGGCTTCAGTTAGAGCTTCTTTGATTTTTACAATGTTTCTTTTAGATTTTTGGATATGTTTATCAGAGTCATTAATTTGTTGCAGAAATGTTTTTATTGTATATTTTTATTGCATACTTTTATTGTGTAAACCAATTTTAATTGAAATGTGTGTTTTGTTAAAATATTCAAATGAAATATTTGACATAAGTATGCTATAAATTGATGAAAGCTAGGTAGTCAATGATATAATCAATACTGATTGTGATGCTAGCTCTTGTGCTGGATTTTCAAATGTTACTGTAATTTTCAACTTGTACTTTTCCAACATTAGCAGTTCAAAATATGTAAAACTTTTAACTTTTCAATTTTGGCTTTATTTTATTGTTTTTGCAATTGTTAAAATATTTTTCAATTAAAATGGAAGTGCAAAATGATGCTCTGTTTGATGCAATGTTATCTGCTCTACATAATGCTACATCATGTTTCCAATTTCTTTAAAATTATACCACCACTGTAATGAAGGTTTTCTATTTTTGAATAAATGCTCTTGTTTTGTGTTTTTCAAATAGTGTTAAATAATAGAAACTATATCTGCTTGTATCAAACCGCAACCCTAATTGCTAAAACATTGAATTAAATGAATCAACTTTTCAGTTTCAACTGATAAAGTTGTATTTTTACTTTTATTTCTGTCAATCAATGTAAACTTTGATACATTGAACTTGAATACACACTTTCTTTATTATATTACTTGCTCTTGATGATGCTTCAAAGCATTTTCAACATCTTCTTTGGTGTAGTTGTTGTTTGGCGTCTTTTATTTTTTATATAGGATTGTAAAAGATAAGATTACCCTATTATAAAAAAAGAAATGACATTCTTTTTATAGAAATAGAAAGGAATTTAAAAAGAAAGTAGTATCATAGATCATTACTTTCTTAATTACTAATAATAGTAATTAAGGAAGTTAACACATATTGGTTACTTCTTGCTATAAATAATCGATTATTATTTATTAATAAGTGATTACTGACCGACATAAGTAGAGTATTACCTTTTTTAGTTTTTACCAAATAACTTCCTCAGTTTATAACAAAATAGGTAACACTTTTATTTTACAATAAAACTCTATTAAAACATATCTTTAAAAATTTTTAAACATTTAAATGCTAAACAAAATGTTTAGCATTTAAAATTTAGGAAGTTTTAAGTTAGGTTTTTCAAATTTTCACCAAAAAACCCTTTTACCCTCACAAAAATGTCATCGAACAAAAATACATGTTCTGATAGATATATTCCTACTCTAGATTGATCTGCTTTTACATTATGATATCTCTTAAAACTTTTTGTTCAATTAAAATTTAAGTAAAAGTAAACGACTTACTTAGGGTATGTTAGTGAATAAAATAACTTACCCAAATGTATTTTATCCATATTTCTTTTTTATTATTATTATTGTAGTGTTGAGAGGCATAAACCATAAACCACAACTTTATTTGGGTAATATTAACACTCAAAATCTGATTAAAGTTTTACATTATTCTGAATCACATGATAAAGGTTGTATTGTTGGCAAGGATCAATCCTTGACAATAACAAATAATTTTATTTTATTGAAATAAAATAATGAAACTATTTGATAAACTTTAGAGGCAATGTTGTCAAAAAGATCAATAATCTAGATGAGAAACAATATAAGAATAAAGATAATATCTTGTTCTACCACTTCTGTACTTCCATCCAATGCTCAAAAAACTATTTTGTTAATTAAATCAATAATTAGAGAAAAATAAGAAATTTTATAATTATCATAAATAATAATTATTAAATATATATATATATATATATATATATATATATATATATATATATATATATATATATATATATATATATATATATATATATATATATATATATATATATATATATATATATATATATATATATATATATATATTTCAATATAATCAGACTCAGCATAATTAATAGTCATAGCAAGTTGTTCGACTCAAGCAAGCAAGTTGTTCGACACCTAAAAAATATATATATATATATATTTAATAGTCATAGAAAGTTGTTCGACTCAATATAATCGACTCAGCATAATTAATAGTCATAGCAAGTTGTTCGACTCAAGTTGAGATTACTCACTTTTTTAAATAAAAACAAAAAACTTTTCTAACAATAGTAAAAAGATCAATTGAATAATTTAATAATAAGAAATAAAAATATTAAGAAATAATAAATTGAATAGTAAATATATTGTATAAATATTGTAAAATATTATTGTAAAAATAAATAGTATAAATATTGTCCGAGCAATACCCAGAGTTTTTAAAAATAGGAACCAATCAGATGTTATTTTCTAGCAGAGAGGAAAACAAGATACAGTTAAACACTTGTTAAACAGTTTAAAAAGTTTTAAAGGGTTCTTGGTTTCTGAAAAACACTTTTGCAAAACTGTAACTGTGGTTGTCCTAACCACAAGTTGTAAAAAAATTTTAATGATAAACAACTTTACAAAGAGAAATAATTTTAGCAACAGAAACAGAAACCGGTTTATGAAATTAGAAACGTAATTAGCATGTCTAATGATTATTAAACCTACTCTTCTGGGGTGCCAAAAAAAGTGTGGTCATTAGAGTCAAGATATAGATTAGAAAAGTTTTCTGCAATTTGTTCTGCCCTATCCTTGGAAGAGGTAATAAGATACAATAACTTATGAGAATTAGGAATGTTAGACTTGCTTTCATTAATGACACTATTAAAGATTTTTCAAATCTTTGGAACCTAATTTCTGAGAGTTTGCGTTAAGTTTGTTTTTATTAATTTAGTGTTTTCGTTTTTTTTTTTTTTTTTTTTGTTTTTTTATCAATTGAAATTTATTGAAAATTAATTGAAAATTATTAATTGCTTAATTGTTTTTTTATTTTATTTTTCTTATTAACTTAATTTATGATTGTTTTTATTTATTATTATTGCTGTTGGTTTTTCTTTTTTTTTTTTATTTTATTTAGGTGTCACTTCAATGACTAGTTTTTAACTATATGAATGACACCTAACCTAATTTTGTAAAACTATAAAAAAATTTGCAATTTTTGGTTGAATAAATGGGCAAAAATAAAAAAAATGGAAACAGATAAATTTCAATTTAAGCTTTAAAGGCTATTTGATTCTAGGAGATTATAAAAGAGACACAACTATTAGAAAGAAGATTTTTTTTAAAAAACCCCTCAGTCCTAAACCAATAATTAAATAATTAAACTTCATAATTGGTAAACATTTTAAATAAACCTCACTATAATTTAAAATTAAAATGCTCGAGATAATACTTACATTTGTTGAGGTATATTTTGTAATCTTTCACTTACAAGAGACTCCATTTTTATATTTGATTAATAACTAAGAAAAATTGTATAATAATTGGTAAAAAAATTCCAAAACTATGACATTTAAAAAATGTATTTATCTAAAAAATAAAACAAAAACACTTTTTTTAAATTTAAAAATAAAAACAAAAAATTTATATATCGTTTTATACATATTTAAAGCTTTTAAAAAAGTTCAAAATAAATCAATATTTCTTTGTTGTGTTAATTTTCTTTTGTTATTTTAATTTTCGTTACTATTTTTTGAACTTTTATGTTCTTATTTTACATTTAGAACTAAAATAAGCAAAGTTTAAAACTATATTCAATCAAATTTATTTTTTTAGTGTAAAAAAAATGGAACATAGTATGGCGCCACTTTGCTGCTATTAAGCATACATTGTGGCATGCTTAAAATACAGTTTTTAACTGTTTTTTTAGAGCTCTTCACAATGATTCTAAACATATATGAACCTTTCTGTAAGTTTTGTGTTAATTACATTTTCAGCCATTTCTTATTTTAAAAGCTACCAGACATTCTCTATTGAATTTATATTTGAAGAATTTCAAGTCCAATATAAAACACCAATTTTTTGACATTAATTTAGGTTTTTAAGTTGGTCTTCAGGAAATTAGCCCAAACTCCTTACCTGCAATAAGATGCCAATGTCTTCTTTTCTTACTTGATGGGTTAGCAGATTTATTTGGGTTTTTTATGTACTCTAAGCACACACACCTTTTTTTTTTGTGATTCTAAGAGTTGTGATTTTACCACAAGCTCCTGTATAGTCAGGTTGCAAAGGTACTCTGAAACCTATTTACTGGTTTTTGCTTTACTCTCTTAATTGTGCTTGTAAACTTTGAGAATCTCTGTTATTTTATACTGAGACATTTCAATACTATTTAATAATCCACAAGTTTTCCCTAATTTACGTGGAGAGATATCAGAATTCCTGCATATATAGTTAAAAAAAAAAAAGATAAAACTTAGTTTATGAGATTATTTACTGACAAAAAAAAAAAAAAAAAAAATATGACCACATGGATAAAATGCAAAAACCTTTCAAACAATACAAATAATATAAAAATATCTTTAAAAGTAAGATAATCTATTTTTACAGCTTAAAAACATAATATTTTTGTGAAAACATTTTTTTCAAGGTACTTGACCTACTTAATTGCATTTTAATACTATAAACAATCAAAAAATAGAGACAAATGGTACTGCTGTTTGTAAAAATATGTTAATAAATATTAATAGAGTGAAAAAAGTTGATATTTCACCACATTTGGTAAATATACACATATAATCAAAAGCAATTTGTTAATATTGAAGTAAGCCTAATAGTATAGAAAACTACTTTAGACATCTATATTGAAGTAAGAAACTAGCAGACTGAAGATGTATAATATTACCATGTTATACATCCAATATTAAGAATGTAAGTTCTTTTAACTCCATGATGTTTATTTTACAATTCATTTTATTTATCTATTTTTAGTATTTTTTATGAAAATCATGGAAATTAAATATTTTTTTTAAAAACGTTATTATGTATTATTTATCATATATAATAAGATTTATGTAACATTACTTGTGTAACAAAATAGTTGTGATAAACTTAATCTAAAATCGATAAATTTACTAACTCATTCATTTATTATTACTTTTACTATTATTTTTATTGTTATTATTGCTATTATTATTATTTATTGTTGTTGCCTTTATTACTATTGTTAATGCTATATATTATAGTCCATAAAAATAGTCAACATAGTATTATAGCCAACATAAACTCCTCTATAATATAGAGAAAAATATATTGAATTTTCGGCAACATTTAAAAAATTACCCACAAAACTATAATTAGATAAATCATTTTCAAAATATTTCACTTCTAATAAATTTTGTTAAAAAATATTAAAAATCCTATAGTTCATATCTATGCCAAGTTTACAGAATAGAAATCTTGAACTATCACTTTGTTGTTTTAATAAAGCCACTTGATATTATTTAAAACTGAAATTATTGTCTGATCAGCACTTAGATTCTCGGAAAAAATAAGGAATAAAACAACAAAAAGATAACAACACTCCCGCAAAAAACAAAACCAAAGCTTATATTTAAAACTACGGAACATCTTCAGCATTCTTTTAACAACTACATCTTTACATGTACATACCTCGCCTCTAATTGGGGGAACCCAGGTAATTTAAAGGGCTTATTTGTATTTTAGTAATTCCAGGAAAAATATTTTTGGACAATGGGGCCCTAACAGCAATTTTTTACGGAGGGCCCCATCCCACTAACCATGACACTGCTTACATAGCTAGCATGTTAAAAAAATTGTCACAGCAAAAAAGCCCTTAGAGAAAAAGTAGCCCCTGCCTCCCCTCCCCTGTGTCTATGCCCTAAAAATCAGTGTCACTTATCGATTTCTTTAATTTTTTAATAGTAAAATTATATTAAAAATTTATAATCTGAATAATTATTGCGGAATTGATATTATGCCACGTTTAGAAAAAGCTTGTGAGATGAATTAGTTCGGAAATACTTTCGAAAATATCAAATAGGTGTCCTCAATATAACTTGGTTTCAAGAAAAGCAACTCCATATTTCATCCAGAATTTCTTCTGCTTAATAAAACAATAGAATAATGAAAACAATACAAAAGCATTCAAAATTAATTCAAAAGCACAACAGAATGATTCCAAAGCTAAATATCAATCTGAAAACAATATGTTGGTTATTATAGCGTATAAATTTTTATTGAATATATTACTGGCGAGATTTAAAGAATACTGCAAGATTATTATAAGAAGCCTATATTCTTATTTGACAAAAAAAAAAAAAAACAGGCGATAAGGATAGTTACAAACGCAGATCGTTTTTCGCATACACAAGCACTATTTAATGAACTCAATATCCTAAATGTATATAAACTAAACCACTATCATGTTCTTATATTCATGTTATCTTTTTTTATTCAATTTTTGAAAAATTTAATCACATATACCCTACTAGATTTTCAAAATACTACATTCAATCCTAAACTTATTATTCCGCTACTAAATTCTCTATTGCAAACCGAAGACCAAAGTTGTGAAACATAAAATTAATTAATGAACTGAGTACTAATTATTCTCTAAACGAATACAAAAAAAACTTAGGCAATTACTTTTGTTAAATGAAAATAAATTAAATTTCTTCTAATAAAGCTTCTTCTAATAATTCTTAAATCTTATTACTTTATACGATATATTTATATTTTCTTTTATAATATTAAATTAGAGATATATACATTGATACATTGAAATTATATTGTACTGTTAAATTATATTTTATCTAGTAATGACGCATTTTTGGGGCCTAATGGTAAGACTAAATTTATCTTCTTCTAGCCCCGGTCATGTAAATATTTTTTATAAGTTACCACTTGCAAATTTTTTTTTATCGGCAAAAAGTTTGGATAAAATAAGTTAGTGAACACTGTGCCTTTGGCACGGTGTTCATTCACCCGTAAGTTGCTATCTGTATGTGTGTGTTCTGTCTGTTTATGTTTATATGTATGTTTGAGTTCTGTCTGAACCTCTGGCGCGGTGTTTAACCATTCGTAAGTTACATTATGTAAAAATGTGTTCTGTTTAAATGTTTAAATCTGTTTAAATGCAGAGTGAGCTAATTAACCAACTAGACACTACAACTATTAAAACGCTCACCCTTGTCTCTATTTTAGTTTTATATGTCTAGTATTTTGTTGGGTGTAATATTTTTTCTAATGCATTTCCAAAATATTATGCCCGATGTTTTAAAGTGCTGTTTGCAGGAAGTAAACCTCTGCTTTATGGCTCCTGGTTGAGTAAAGGCTTGAGATGGTGTTTCGATAAAAATACTTATCTTGGGCAGATGTTAACTGCATCTAGCTAAAATTCTCTTGCCTTGGTGCCTCTTAGTTGAGTTAAGACTAGAGATGGTATCTTGATAAAAATACTCATTAACAAAAATACTCGTTAACTGCATCCAGCTATTGTCTTGTAGTAGGCCACCTAGGCAAAGACTTTAGGGTAAGCAGAATAATTCTGTTAACCAGCATCGAACTCCTTCATCATCTATTAGGCTGACAAATATGTAAATCTGTGTTACATTGTTTCCTGCCTAGGATGATGAATGCTAAATCTTCTTGACTCTACTAATGTATTTTTGCTTGTGCTTTCTCGATAGCGATTATTTACAAAATTGTTCTCCTGAACTCTCTTTAATTTTCTCTAAACTATTTAATAAACTTCTCACATCTTATCTTGAATTAAATAACTTGCTGTTTGACAATCAATACAGCTTTTGATACTCTCGCTCTATGGCTGACTTGCTAACTACTGTAATTAAAAAATTTTATTTTGTATTAGATGGAGGAGAGGCTAGAGCTATTGCTCTTGACATATTTAAAGTTTTGACAAAGTTTGGCATGCTGGTCTTCTCTATAATCTTGTTATAGTCATCTTCGAAGGCCAAAACTCTTTTTTATTTCCAGTAACTTCTGGGGTCTTAAGTTTTATCCTTAATCTTAAGTTTCTATCCTTAGTCCTATTTTGTTTCTTATCTTTCTTTGTTTGTTATCTACATTAATGATATTCCCGAAAACTTACACCTAAAATAGTTCTTTTTGCTGATGAATCAACTTTATACTTTATGCTTTGCGACATAAATTCTTACAGCATTCGTACTATTATTACTATTAATAAATGGGATTGAGTACTTAAAATATATTTACTGAAAAGAAAGGACAGACAACTTAATTGTACTTTGTGACAATGCTCAGTGATTTTATTTATATTTGACAGATTCACAACTAATAAAGTCTACCTCTTCAATAAGTCTATTTTATTCAATATGTTTATTTTATTATTTTGCAAATTATCAATGTAATCAATAAACTAACGACAGAAATCGTAGCAACAGCGAGGTACAGTATTGGACAAAACATTTGCAAAAAACATCGAACAATGCTAAGAAGTGTT